ATTGTTGGAGTTTGTGTCAAAAGCAAAATTTGTGATATATACATACCTGCCGGACTTTACTAATATACCTGAATTAAATTTACCTCACTACTACCCTACCCTAGTTCTACGTTCACAATATACTTACTCTAGATTTAAGAAGACCCCCTGTTATTAAGCATACTTACCTTTTTTTTGTTAGATGTTAGGACTTAGTATTAGGATGATTAGCTTTAAGAAATAGATGTAAGAAAATGAATTTAGAATAAATTGTAGTTATAAAATGGGAATGTTGACCCTTTCATTTAGTTAGGACGGCAAGCAGGAACTTTTATAATGGCTTATTTTTTTTATTGAACTTTTTTCATTTTTTGTTGATTTTCAGTTTATTTTAAGCATTTAATGTAACGCTTTTCCCAGTTTTTTTTGGTATCTGGCTTTTTTTTTAGTTTTTTTGTCCGTTCGTGAAGACGTTTGACAGGCATGACTGTTTCTCTGCTACGGCGCGGGGAACAGTAGTGAATGAAAGAATCCCGGCAGCCGACATGACTAGCCATAGTGCACCCCATTGTGTCATGCCGACTGCATCCACTGCTGCTCCCACAGTATGTGTACCATAACAAATCCACACACAAAACACAAATTTACTCTTCTTCTCCAGAACAAAAAAGTTTAAAATTTTTCCTATTTTCAAGATTCGCCTAAGCAGCTAATTAAATGATATAAAATGAAAAAAAAATTAACCAGGAAACAATATAAATTAGAATGAGATATGATTGTATATATTTATTCTAAGATTTCCTGAAATTTATTTCGTTCTCCCGAATCTTTACGTGAAATCTTGATTATATGAATATAAGTATATATGTATATACATACAGTGGTGGTCAAAAGTGGATGAATGGCGTTTCCTTTTCAATATTTACAATAAATTTTTTTTTTGATATTTTTTATTTTATAAAAATATGGTTCACTTTCAAACCTAATAAAGAATTTAGAAAACTTCCACAAATTTTTATTCAAACTTCGAGCTTTTTAACCAGAATTTTTATAATTTGTTTGGGTATGCAGTTAACAGGCTAATAAAATCTTAGTAAAATAAGTGCAAGTTTTGAGCGGCTAAAAGATCGCGTTGATTTTTAATATTATTTGTTTTTTTTTTGTTGACGGCGTTTTGCACTGTTTTCCTATAAACAGGAATTAGGTACTTGTGAAAGAATATGCGGAAGGCCGTTTGCAAAAAAAAATAAAACAGTCACCACCAGCTTTCCTAAATTTCGCTATTTATATGAAAAAACCGCCAAATCCGTCAGCAAAAAAAAAAATAATTACGATTTTTAGCCGCTCCAAATTTGCATTTCTTTTACTAAAGTTTTATACGCCTGTTATCTGCATACCCAAAAAATTAATAAAATTTTTTTATAAATTCTGTATAAAGTTTGAAAATGTGTGTTGTGGCTACAAGTTACTTTTAGAAAATAGCTATGTATAATTTAAATGTTGCGATATGAATACCCTAATTACCGCAGGTAAATGAAAAAGACTCAAAATATTAAGAAAATTACTCCAGTTAGAGTAAACGTGTTTATTTGTTCGCCGTCGTAATCCAAGTGAAAGAGTCAAACTTAAGCGATATAGCAAATGCATAAAGTGTCGCTAAGAAGGACAGCGTAAGAAGGAAATGATGAGAACATTAGTTTTAGTTCGCTCTTTGCGATGTTTTGCTGTTTTATGAATATGCTTGTCAATATAATGATAATTCATAGTTTGCATGTGCAATAAAATATTAAAGTTAAAATTTAAGTTTATTTAATTCGAATATTTTGGTTACATATAATACGGGAACATTCTCCCCACCAAGAACAACTATTCTTAATCTGGGTAGACACAAGAGGAAGGACGTCCTATAGTTGGGAGTGTTCTAGTCGAGTTTTTTACTCCGATATGCTCCGACTCACAGCGTCTTCAGCCTCGGGTTCCATCACCTCGCCCCTTAGTCCAATAAGCTGAGGATCATGGTGTTCAGAACTATCCATTGTTTCATCTAGGGGTAAAAAACAAATTTTAGAAATAGGTCTTTTTATAAATTTGTGTTTAGTAAACTGACACTACGCGCACTCGCCCATTCTTTCTGGGATTCACTTCCTAAATACGCCCAAAGCACGTCTGCTACAAGAACTAGGTCGTTAATTTTTGCATCGACTTGGGGATGAAGGCACTTAGGACGAGCTTGCAAACGATTGAGGTACTCGTTGTACCAGTGTTTCCAAAAATGCTGCTTGATTTTTTCAATTGCTTTCCATCGGCATATTCGATTGATGTTAACCTCCAGAAGGGTTTCTTCTTGCACGCAGCTGATGGGTTCGCATATCAAGAAATGTCCGGGGGTCAATCCGCTGACATCTCGTGGATCAAATGATAAAGGGCAAAGTGGCCTAGAGTTTAGGCATCCTTCAATCTGTGAAAGCAAAGTGGTTAATTCTTCGAAACTTAAAGTTCGGTCATGCACATCGCGTTTTAGATGGTGCTTCATGAGCTTAAATCCTGCTTCCCACAGACCACCAAAATTTGGGGAAGCAGGTGGGATAAAGTGCCAATCAGTTCCAGAACTTGAAAAACTTTCACGTAAATTTTTTGGCATTGAAAGTTGACTTCGGTATAGCAAGACTTTTAATTCCTTTGATGCACCTACAAAATTTGTGCCGCAGTCGGAATACAAATCAGTACACGCCCCTCGTCTGACAACAAAGCGGCGAAAGGCTGCTAAGAAAGAGCTTGTTGTTAAATCCAACACTGCTTCTAGGTGTATGGCTTTGGTGCTCATGCATACAAAGAGACAGACATAGCCTTTTGTGATAGCAGCGCTTCTTTATGTTGAATTGTTTATGAGTATAGCTCCAGCGTAATCAACACCACTATGTTTGAAAGGCCTAGTTAAATTTAGGCGAACAGAGGGGAGATCACCCATCTCTTGTTGAGATGCTTTGGCAGCATAACGGAAACAAGTTATACACCTGCTTATAATAGTTTTAGCTTGACCGACTCCAGACAAAGGGTCTGTTCGAGGCACGTAATAAAAGCGGCATTTCTGCCGTACTGATGAAAAATGGCAACATTGTTGCAACTGTCCAACTGAAAACACATTGCTGGAAATTCACACAGACCGTGATACTTTAATTATTCGCGCAACACTGCGGTTGTGATTGCAACTCGAACAAGCCCAAAATCCAAATTTCGCGACCGACATAAGACATAGCTAAAGTGATTTCACCATGTAAAGTACGCTCATGTGCGTCTAAGATTATAAGCTTAGATAAAGGATTCGATTTGGTTAGAACCGCCGGAAATTTCATGTCAGGGGGTAAATTAGAGCGGAGGATACCCTTCTCATCAATGAAAGGTGATAATTTAAGTAAAGGTTTTTCTTTCGTTTCTTTTTGACTGCGCAATTCAGAAATGATGTGGGTGAAGTCAATTTGCTGAGTCAATTTTATGAGACAAATTTTGGTTTCGAGAATTTCTCTGGCAGTCAAAATTCCAAGATGGCCCTATGCTACGCCTACAATTCTTAAAGAATCGAAAACAAAAAGAGATAACACGCAATAACTTTTTCAGCGTGGAGAATCTAACCAAAAATTCAGGATATTGAGCGCCTGTCATGTGGCTAACCACTTTAATTTTTCGCTCTTCTAAGGTTGATTGAAGGTTGCTAGGAAGTTTTGGCCATTGATTTTCGGATTGGGTAAGAAACTTAGGACCTCGCCAACAGATTTCTTTAGCTTTTAGTTCTTCTGGAAGCAAGCCTCTCGATGCGCAATCGGCCGGGGTTTCAGCCGATGCACATTAGGTCAAATGATTCATTTGGCTGAGCGAAAGTCCAATTTCATAAAGGCAGTTTTACATTATTTTTTGTTGCCATTCTGTAGGGAATACTCCAAAATAACAGGAACTTCACTTAGTTTTTGTAAAATAAAAAACACCGTTAGACAGCAATAAACCAAAGTTACACTTTCAGAACGTTATTGATACGTTGTTTGCGCAACCAGTTTATTTTGTAAGTTTCAAGAGCATTTTTTTTTTTAAGTTCGAATAATTAAAGAAAAATTTTAAAAATAAAACAAAACTATAAGTGAGAACCTATGCCCCAATTTAAAAAAAGTGACTTTTTATCATTTGTTTGCAAAAAACTGACTTATTTGCATAACTGATTTATTTCCATTTACGATTTTATGTAAGCTTTTACAATTTTGTTAACTTTCGGCAAACGAAATGGAAACGGAAATGGATAAATTAAGATGTAATGAGTTGATTTTATTTTACTTAGCCCGCCGTTTTTAGCCGTTTTCAAGAAAAAGTTTTTTTCTGAGCTATCATGCTATCCCAAAAGGCAAGTTGTTTGAAGTTTGGCTGATTGGATGTTCGAAAAAAAGCCTTTTTCGGTTGTCAACTATTTTGAAAAAAATTTGGTACTGCTGATATTTACGAATGTTCCATGAAACTCTTAGAAGAAAATACGCGTATTTTTTGCAATCTAAGAAAGATGAAAATTATGGAAAACAATTTGGAAAGGATGCTAAAATATTTAGATCTGTAAACATAGCGTTTCTTGCTGATGAAGTTCTTTTCGAAATAAAAAAGTGACTGTGTCGACCATCAGCCGAATTCTAACTTTCGCTATCGCTAAAATGGTAAAATAGGAAAGCTAAAATTTTCCCGAATTTTCAGCTATCTCCAAAAATATCTCCTAAATTTTTTGGTGATAAATAATCAATTTTAATGATGATAAATAGTGAAGATGGAAGTATGTGATAGCAAAAAAAAATAGCAGACTCAATTTGGATTACATTTCATCTACTGTAGCGTAGCCGTGGCTATGTTGCAAATACACTTGCGTCGATTCGCAAAGACCATTGATGAGCAGCCTTCGCAAAAAGGGCAAATCCTTGAGAGAATTTACGGAATTGGGGGAATTTGGGAATACTGAAACCTCAAGTGAAAATTAAGTGCTTTATGGAGAGTACCTGCTTTAGGAACCTCTCCTCAAGACATATCTGCGAGGCATGTAGTAAATATTTTTCTTTTTTTAATTTAGGAATTTCGATAATGCCATAATTAATCGCTAGAAGAAACCACTTATGTACATGTGACCATACTTATTTTGTTGTGTAGCTAATTTTAAGAGGGGGAGGGGGTGCGGGGGTGGGGTTGGAGTATGGCAAGAAAATAACTTGTGTCAAAACCAAGCTAATTGGACAATGTTTTTGAGCAATATTTTAGCTGCTATTAATTTCGCACAGAAAAAGTAATCATTTGACCTAATGTGCGATGGAACATATCGCCATTGGACAATATTTGAATGGCGCTGAATTTCGCCTACGCGATTTGCTACGTAGACACTCCAATATGATGGAGACTGCCTAATCCAACTCACCACTGTTGTGCTGTCACTACAGTACGTTGCTGACTGAATACAATTTGGAGAATTTTGAGTAAAAGACTCTATCACATTGGCTGTGAGTTGGACTAAAAGAGCAGCTGCACATAAATAGCTCCAATCTGGGTATGGATACAGTTTTGATGGGTGCTACCTTTGACTTGGCTTGAAGAAAAGAGACTACGAAAATGCGTGCGTATACTACTGCGGCATAAGCGACTTGTGAAGCGTCGCAAAAGCAATGCAAATCAAAGGTACAGCTGGGCGAATAACCTATCCATCTAGGTATTTGTATGTCATGAAACGCAGTTAAAGTTGATTTGTATTCGTACCATACTGATTCAATATCAGTGGGGACTTCTTCCTGCCAGTCCACACCACCAAGCCATAATTTTTGAAAAAGTAATTTGGCAACTATAGTCGCAGGGGTGAGCCCTCCTAAATGGTCGAAGGGACGTGCACTGTCCGCTCGAGTGTTTTGTTGGCTTGGAGTCAGACTTGAAGCTAGTTTTAAAAGCGAACTAATCGAAAGTGGTGTTCCACTGAACACCGAGCGCTTTAACTACATTATCTCGATTAAGATCAAAAGTGGCGGAACTATTCTTAAACTTATCCAATTTTTAAGTACGAACTGACCTTTATTAAGAAGAGCAGCACATAAATCTTTTTGCAATGAGACTGTTCCGGCTAAAATTTCCTGACATAACATCATCGACGTACGTGTCTGCGTCTAACACAGCTGACGCTAGTTCATACTCGTTCCTATAATCTTCAGAAAGTTGACGCAAAACTTGAATTGAGAGATAAGGAGCCGGAGTCGTACCATAAGTCACTTTTGTTATAGCGCCATAAAATTTGCTGGTATATCCGCTGAGCGGGATTGACCTCAATTTGGCGAAACATCTTTTCAATGTCTGCGGTAAAGGCATACCGATGCTTTCGCCAACGTAACAAAATTCGAAACAAATTATTTTGAAGAACAAGCCCTAAGAATAATTCTTCATTTAGCGATGTCTTATCTTTTGACTTACTAATAATAATAATAATAGATTGGCGCTTACACATATGTTAGTGTTTGGCCGAGCTTCTGCTCCGACTTGTGGCGTGCGCCTCGATGTTGTCACACAAAGCGGAGGGACGTACAGTTTTACGCCGACTCCAAACGGCGATTGTATTTTTATGAGAAGCTGTTTTTCATGGCAGAAATACACTCGGAGGTTTGCCATTGCCTGCCGAGGGACGACCGCTGTTAAGAAAAAACCTTTTTCTATATTTTTTGCGATGTTGCTTTGACCAGGGCTTGAACCCATGATGAGTGAAAGCGCGCACTGCTTACCACTACACCACAGCGGCCGACTTTTGACTTACTACTTGCCGTCAAAAACAACTCGTAATTTAAGTGGTAGAGCTACTCTCACGCACAACTCCATGGTGGGGCAGAAAATAAGAATTGGGCGAAATATCTGCTATGTATACGCCTACTCTAGCCATGTGCTGCAAACTTTCATATTCTTGCATGAATGCAGTGTATTGCTAGCGGTACAAAGGGCGTCTAACAAACAGGGACGGTAATCATTATGAGCAAAATAATTTAAATCAGCATTTAATTATTATTTTATGATTTTTATATTTTTCGCTCAAAAATAATAATTATTATTGATTTTTAGTGTTTCCCTCAAGGGAAATGATTTTTATTTTTTCGATCACAAATAATGATTATTTGATGATTTTTATTTTTTCGCTCAGAGATAATAAATGTTATTGAGTGTTATTTTTCCACTTAAAAATAATGATTATTTATAAAATTGAAAAGGCCATACAGACGCAACTTACTGACATTCGGACCTGAAACATATTCCTTTTATTAGGGTGTCGCTACCTCTAAAAAGGATACGAGAGAAATCGCGCCGGTATATCTTGTGCTTTTTTTTTTGAATGATAATTTTTCTTAAGTGAAAATATAAAACTCAATAATTATTATCTTTGAGCGAAAAAAATAAAAATCGTAGAATAATCATTATTCTTGATCGAAAAAATAAAAATCAAGTAATAATAATTACCTTTGAGCGAAAAATTAAAACTCAAATATTAATTATTATTTTTAATCTTTATTGATTAAACTCGAAAAATATAAATCATTGCAAATTACAGTAGGGCGTACGAACACAAATACGTGAGAATAGTTAAAACTGTTTTATGACGAATACAACTTTTTATTTTTTTTTGTTAAAATTTAAAAAATTATGATTATTCTCCGTACCTGCTAATAAATGCTTGTTCTAATTGCTTAAGACGTTTCAAGGCATTGAAATGGTTATTTTTTATTGTTGGCGTATTGTCAGAATTCAGCATTGACTTAAATGGTAGATCCACTATTTACCGTCCAGACTCACTACGTTGTGTTGTGGTCAAAAAAAATAATAATTCGCATGTTTCGTGTTCCGCGGTCAGATCCGTTTTCTTAGGCAGCTCTCCCTGCTCCCAAAAGGACAGTAACAGGCTTTCCAAATTTATATTATTTACTGTAACTCTGTGACCTAAATTCGGGGTTGGTCCAGAGATAGCCCAGCCAAAAACAGTCCTTTGAAAGAATAAATTTTCATGTAAAAATGATTTGCCTGGGACTACAATTTGACTGAAACCTTCTGCTCCAAGAATGAGGTCAATTTTGTCATCCTTGTAGAAAGCGGGAACGGCAAATGTATCAATTTGTAAATTTCCAAGATTTCTTAAAACGCTTGTTGCCTTTGGCTTAAAAGATTATAAGCGCTGCATAACGGGCGAGTAACACCTTAGTATATACTCATTTTGTACTGACCAAAGATCGATTGAAACTGCACTGCGGTAGAAGTTATGGCTGTTACTTATGCCGGTAATTTCACAGTAGGTTTTAGCCTAGCTAAGTTAAATATTTGAGACGCGTTCTCGGAAATAAGGGTTGCTTGCGAACCCTGGTCAAGGAGTGCTCTGAGCTCAATCCCTGCCGTTGGTGATTTGACGAGAAGTCGTATGGTGTACAGCAGAACGTTGCGAAACATAGCCGCGTTGTTGGCAGAGGCTGTGAGAGATAACGTTGAGCTCTCAGTACAAGCATTAGCAGAGCTTACTCGACCGCTACCCTGGGATGTATTATCATGAACTGTATGTTAAACAGTATGATGAGCCCTTTTAGAAACATTGCATTTGTAAGTCGATTTGCATTCACGTGAGTGATGGCCACTCACACGGCAATTGAAGCAAATAAGTTTAGATATTAAGAAATCAGCTTTATTCTTATAAGGTAGTGCTAGTGTAGTGATCACACACACCAAATGCAATAGAAGCGGCAACTTACAAATGCACAACCAAAACAATATGAGCACAGCGACCTAGATATGCTTTTGAGGGCAATGCTGACCAGGCAAATTTTATTAATATTTAACGCTGCCGTTTGCAAGCAGATTATTTCAATTATGCTCGCTGCTTCCGCCG